GTCCCGTTTGACCCAAAACCAACGGTGCCGGGCCCTGCTTCCTTCATACTATAAAATCAATAAAGTCAAGCCTAACTCTTCTGTTCGCGCTCCATTGCTAGGACTTGACAAGAGGAAGGGACGTGATGGATCGATGCTCTCGACCAAAGGCTTGATGGTTCCACTGTACAATTTGACATAGTCAAGGACTTGTTGGTCTTCTGCAAAAAATCCTTTTCAGGAAGGCAATAAAAAATGTAAACTACCAGTATAGTTGTAGGCACTCCACCAGTGAGTTCTTATGGCAAGTTCATTCTCATTATTTCCAGCCCATAGTAAGATTGACGCATGGCGTTTGATTCTCCAGATCTTAATCGTATATTTAAAAGATACTGCAGTCTGTTAAGGGATCTGATTCAAAATTACAATTCCTAATTTTCAGATTAATTTCAAAAAGGCAGTCAGTTTCGCACATTCTACGTGAAAAAAGGCGGATAATCAACAAAAAACCCGATAATTTGTAGTTCTTAATAATACAACAAATAAATTCGTCTTAAAACATTGGCCCAAGCTAAACCTTCCACTTGTAAGACTTTCCTTGGCCCTATTCAAAATTGCGCGCGGGCCGGTGCCGTTCCGGTGCCGTTCCAGCGCCGTACCAGTGCCGTGTCAGAACACATATTGCAAGTCGTTTGATCGGTTGGTGTCCCAGGGGCGCTAGCACGGCACTGGCACTAACTCTAGATGCAGCTTTATCGGGGTGTTTTGTATATCAAAACGCAAAAATTTCAACAAAAAAAGAAAAGAGAAATAAAAATAAAATGAATAGAAGTAGTTGAAACTTGTCCTGACACACCTTATACCAGAAGAGAAACGGAAATTTTTCATAAAAGTTGATAATTTCTTGCACTTGCGCCCTTATTTATCGAAGTTGAATGCATACCTGTTGCTCAAGTTCGGTTCTCACGCTATCCAGAAACTTAGGATCAGTTGGATAAAGAGCGCACGCAAACATCAAATCCTGCAATGCTAGAAAAAGGCTCATTTCTCCATTAATCATTTTTTGACCATGAAAATTAACTACCTGCCAAATCAACAGCCCTTTCTCATCCGCAATCTCGTAAAATTCTTCTGTTTCATATACACCTCCACCCCAGACGCGAAGAGCGTTCATACCTAGACGGTGTTGCTAGTAAAAATAAATTTGGAACAAATTCTGATACAGTAAGCAAACCTGTTTCAACTGCAGAATCCAGCAAAAAGTTGACTCGACGCGGATGATCTCCAGCCAGAAAATTTGAGACAGGAATCCAATTTGAGCCTAAAAATCAGTGTTTATGAGCCAATACGTCACCACTTATTTTTCCCTCTAGGAAAAGCGCCTAGTGCTCGCAAAGATAACTTTGTCTAACTAGGAACCTCTTATTATATTGAAATCAAAGATAGACATTTTAAATTTTCCCGATCTGCAACTATATGCTAGCGCAGATGCGATCTTCTCAAAGGAGAAAAACTTTAGATTTTTC